CAGCTCCCTCAGCCTCTCCTCCTAGGAGAGATGCTCCAGTCCCCTCCTCATCCTCGTAGCCCTGCGCTGGGCTCTCTCCAGTAGCTCCTCATCTTTCTTGAACTGGGGAGCCCAGCACTGGACCCAGCACTGCAGATGGGGCCTCAGTGGGGCAGAGCAGAGGGGGAGGAGACCCTCCCTCGCCCTGCTGCCCACACTCCTCTGAATGCACCCCAGGATCCCGTTAGCTTTCTTGGCAGCCAGGGCACGCTGCTGCTGTAATTACGTAATATATAATGTATAATTACATGCTATAATTCAAGTTCGTCGGTGGTTGTATCTTAGAAATGAAATTATATCAGAGCTCCATAATAATTTTAAAACTTTGATATTGGTGGATTATAGGCAATGTGCAATGCAAAAGGGGAAAATACGACGGGAACAGATTGCAGGGGCTTATGTTAACATCTAAGAATCTCCTCTTTCAGGTCTTCATTGTTAGTTTTTCTAAAAGCTGATGATGGTTAGAGTTACAGAATGGTAGGGTTTGGAAGGGCCCTCTGTGGGTCATCTGGTCCAACCCCCTGCCGAAGCAGGGTCACCTACAGGAGGCTGCAGAGGACGAGGAGTCTCAAGTGGCTCAGGTGCTGTGGTAAGCATAGAGTCATAGAAGGGTAAGCATGGCAGACACCATCCTTGTCTTTCCAGATAGTGCCCTGCTGTGGGTTAGTGAGAGCAATAGGTGAGGATGCTCTGCCTCTGCTTTATTAAAAGTGGGTTGAGGAGAGCAAGCGAGGGTCCGTAGCTCTTCAGGCTGGTGATTAAGCTCCAGAGGAGGGAAATACTCAGCACACCCGTGGCACTTAGTAGCTTCAATTAAGTTTTCACAGAGTATGTGTGCTTCCTTAATGGCTTTCCACGGGTGATTGACGACTTCGACGGCGCAGATGTGCGCGGAATGAGGCACGAGGCCGGTGCTGGAGGCGGTTACTCGGGCGTTTTAGGTCTTATTCTAACAAGTATTTCACGGAAAGTATTTCTGCTGACACAAGTGCAGGGCTGCTTCATGCTGTAGCTCATCTGTGACAGTAAACATCGAGGGAACGGTGCTCCGATTTAAGTGTAAGCGACTTAAATGGATGATTAAATGTAACATTTTATGGGTGATTTTATATCATCCTCAAATACACATGCTAGAAAACTACACACAAGTCTACGTACACAGGAGAAGGTATTTCGCTTCATTTTCGGCAGAAAGATTTCTCTTGTGGTCTCCAGGGTGTGCTTTAGATCTGAAATGATGCAAGCGTTGCTGAAACGAGCAGACTCCGAGTGCTTCGTTCGCTCTGCGTGTGCCTGGGTGCCCGTCAGCTCGTTCTGCACCGCTGGAGGATTGAGCCCCTCAGTCACAGAACAGAATCATTAAGGATGGAACAGACCTCTGAGATCAAGTCCAACCGTCACCCCAGAACCCCCATGCCTGCTAAACCCTGTCCCCAAGGGCCACATCCCCACGGTGTTTGAACCCCTCCAGGGATGGGGACTCCCCCACTGCCCTGGGCAGCCTGGCCCAAGGCCTGACCACTCTCTCAGCACAGACATTTTGCCCAATCTCCAAGCTGAACCTCCCCTGACGCAGCTTGAGGCCATCGCCTCTCGTCCTGTGGCTGGTTCCTGGGGAGCAGAGCCCAACCCCCCCTCACTGCACCCTCCTGGCAGGGAGCTGCAGAGAGCGAGAAGGTCTCCCCTCAGCCTTCTCCAGGCTGAACAAGCCCAGTCCTCCTGTGATGGAGCTGTGCAGCTGGCGGGAGAGCTGCAGCGCCTTGCTGTGAACCCTCCACCCTTCTCCGTGGAAGCCCACCTGGTTATCGTGCTGCA